CTGCTGTTTGGATGTAAACTGCCTCCCACCCTCATAGATCTTTTGCTTGAGGATGCTCCAAAGGTTCTCAATAGGATTGAGGTCAGGGGAGGAGGAGGCAACACCATGACTTTCTCTCCTTTTATCCCCATAACAGCCATTGATGCAGAGGTATTATTTGCAGCATGAGATGGTGCATTGTCATGCATGAAGATGATTTTATTACGGAAAGCATAGTTCTTCCTTCTGTACCAGGGAAGAAAGTGGTCAGTCATAAACTCCACATACTTTGCAGAGGTCATCTTTACACCTTCAGAGCCCCTAAAGGGGCTGACCAGCTCTGTTCCCATGATTCCGGCCCAAAACATGACTCCACCACTACCTTGTTGACGTCGCAGCCTTGTTGGAACAAGGTGGCCGTCCACCAACCATCCACTACTCTATCCATCTGGACCATCCAGGGGTGCACGACACTCATCAGTGAACAGGACTGTTTGAAAATTAGTCTTCATGTATTTTTCTGCCCAATGCAGCCGTTTCTGCTTGAGAGCATTGGTTATTGGTGGCTGAATAGAAGGTATATGCACAGTTGCAAGACTCTGGAGGACTCTACACCTTGATGTCCTTGGGACTCCAGAGGCACCAGCAGCTTCAAATATCTGTTTGCTGCTATGTAATGGTATTTTAGCATCTGCTCTCTTGATCCGATGCATGGATCTGGCAGAAATCTTCCTCAATGTGCCTTTATCTGCACGAACCCATCTGTGCTCTGAATCAGCCACAAATCTCTTAATAGTGCAATGATCACGCTTAAATTTTCGTGAAATATTTCATGTTTTCATACCTCGTCCAAGGCATTGAACTATTTCACTCTTTTCGGCATCAGAGAGATCCTTTTTCTTCCCCATATTGCTTGCAAATGGTGCTCTGCTTAATAATGTGGAACACCCTCCTTTAGTAGTTTTTCCTTAAATTGGGCTCACCGGCCAATCTAATTATCACAGGTGTCCGAGATTGTTTTCAGTGATCAAAAGAGCCCTGAGACACAATGCCATTCATGAGTTAAACTGAAAAACAAAATATTTAATCTTTGTGACACTTAAATAGAATTTGCATAATAATTTGGAACATGGTGTATACTAGACAAATCCCATGTAATTAAACGTAAATCGCCTTCTAAACAAAGATGCGATTTTGCACGTCTTTTATATCGCTATGATGTTATTGACACCTGGAGGGAGGCCAATCCCACCTCTAGAAACTACTGCCACTTTTCAAGGGCTCATAGTCATTATTCTCGTACAGACCATGTTTTCCTCTGTTCGGATATGATCACTAAGTTGCATTCAGCTAAAATTATATCGACACCTTGGTCGGACAATGACCTGTACTTTTAACACTCTCTAATTTGACAGTTAAAATGGTTAAAGCACAGTGGCAATTAAACGAGTCCTTAAGTCCTTACTAAGTGATGAAGCCTGTTGCTTGGAAGTGGGTGAACATCTCAAGTCCTATTTTGCAATTAACAAAGCGGAGGATACAAATCCCTCCATTAATTGGGCAGCCCATAAAGCCTTCAGAATTAAAAAATCCCACGAAAAGTTGATTTCTACCAAATCTAGAGAATATGAATTGTTAGCTGTCCAACATAAAATTGCCCCGACCTCGGATCTTTTATCTAAGGTGGAACATGCTTGGCTGGAGCTTAACCTTTGCCTCACCACAAAGGTGGAAGAATAACTGTGTTGGATGAATCATAGATATTTCACGTGGAGGGATAGACTGGGTTGTCTTCTTGAACGTAAGCTCACCCCCATATTTACTCATTTGGCACTACCTAAACTCCAGCAGACGGGGGGAACTATCACGCAGGATCCTCAGAAGATCCTTCGGGAATTTTATGATTTTATGCTTCTCTCTATGGTTCACTGCGGCCAACAGCCCCCCCTTCTATTCAATCTTTTCTAGAGTCCCTTCTCTTACTGAAGCCCATAAAGAGCCTATGGAACAACCCATTACTACTGAGGAGCTCCTAAAAGTTAATAAATTACTACCGTTACATAAATCCAAATAAATCTTTGTTTTACTTGGAATAACAAACGACCTAGGATGAACCAGAAGACATTGTATGCTTCAAGGTCGCGGGGTGGTAATGGCCTTCCCAATCTCCACGTGTACTTCCAAGCTGCGCAGATCATCCAACTACTGTAGTTACAGAGTAATTCTGGCTGAAAACAGATACAAGTCCATCTAGTTCAACCATAAAAGGAAAAAAAAATATCCTATACTCACAGTTGATACAGATGAAGGCAAAAAAAATCCCAGCAAAGCATGATCCAAATTGCTCCTGCAGGAGAAAAAAAATCCTTCCTGATCCCCCAAAAGGCAATTGGATATTCCCTGGATCAACTTTACCTTTAAATGTTAGTATCCAGTTATATTATGCGTATCTAGAAAATAATCCAGTTCTTTTTTTAAAGCAAACTGCAACTCCTACAGTGGATTAACTGAAATAAATCATTTGCAGAGAATGCAACAGTCAGGCTACTCAGCTACCAACACCGCCATTGCAAAATTACCCCAGTTCTTTGCTCCCCAAACTGGTTTCCAATCAAATGGAGGATATAATTTAAATCAGCTGACTTGGGCCCCTCCTATTTTACTGAAATACTGATTACCCATACTCCCGCATACTCCCTTCTGTTGCCCTGAGAAAGGAAATGTACACATTTACAGAGTGTCTGTAAAGTCTTTTGGGTCTTGTCCATTCTATTATGCAACACCAACAATATTGAACTCAGGAAGCACCCTTTATCGATGTTTTTTAAACTATGGATGTTTTTTAAACTTTTCAGACTCAAGACACATCTATTCACCCAGGCTTATTGCAGCACCTGACAAACCCATCTCTTCAATGATCCCAATGCCAAGTCAATGCACACTTTGAGTGGCCAAGGAGAAAAGTGGTATAGAAATATTATTATTTTTTACTTGTTTTAATTCATGTAGCGATGTCTGGTGTTCAGGGTGTTATTTGCTCAGGAAATATTTCAGTTTGGTCTGGATGAACATGTTTCATAATAACCTGGTTTCAGAGGAAGAGACAGAACCTTTGACAAAATTTTGATTGCCTGCCTGGTCAAAGACTCGCACATCCAGGGTTGGAGGCTGGAACATTACCAGCAAAAATGTCTGATCTTACAGTGGCTATCAGTGATTCTGACTCTGACAATACACTGCAAAATTGTTCCTGTCAAAGCTAATATTATATTCTTATCTCATAGGTGAGGTTGTATGTCTGTGTTATTAAAGTGCAGAGATTTCCTGCTAGATAACCCACTGTAATTATCCCTTTTCACCCTAATACATATAGTGTATCTTGATAAAAAGCATGTGTTTTTGGATTATTGTAATCTTATTCTACATTGCCAATTTTCTACTGTATTTTAAACCTCTTTGAATATTAAAAATCTTAATGAAAAAAAGTGTTAGTCTGTAAAAGTGAGATGGGTTTATTCTCAATCCTATTATCACCTGTATTTTGTTCTGTAGAATATTTTGCTGCGTGTGATTCACAGAAAAATGAGATCATAGACTATGTACATTATTATTATTATTATACAGGATTTATATAGCGCCAACAGTTTGCTCAGCGCTTTACAATATAATGGCAGACAATACAGCAACAATACAGTTCAATACAAGAGGGATAGGAGGGCCCTGCTCCTCGGAGCTTACAATCACCCTACACGAAGTTCCGACTCGTGGTTTGGGATATCAGGGAAGGATTGTCTTTGAGCTCTAATACCTGCTTTGACAGAGCGCTGGAAGACTTGCCGGAAAAGGGAACCATTGGCTGAGACGCATCGCTCCGCACGAGGAAGCCCAGGCGGAAAGGTTTCTGCAACAACATGATCCTTGTGAATGTAATATTAAATGATTACCATGGAGACTCTTGAAGGTGCAACTATCTAAATCTAAAGCAGCTCATAGAAGAGCCTTTTTTTGTTGTTTTTGTTCTTTTGTTCAACAAGCGGGTTGAACGAAGAAAAAAAAAAATTACTCTGTTCCCCCATCCACACACTCGATGTGGATGGGGAAATCCTCCCCACTGATCTTTTGTATTCTGACAGTGGGGAGACTTCCATGCCTTCAGAATACACTGATCAGTGCTGCTGGCTATAGCTTGCTGCCTTGATGGAGTGGAAAAAACCTGACAGGGTGGACACACAGAAGTCGATTGGTAGATCAACTTCTGTACAATCAAGGTGCCCATACATGGATCCAAATTTGGATGGTCCCTGCTGAACCAGCTGAATTTTGATCTATATATGGCCAGCTTAAGTCCATCATGGGCAAGTCAAACAATTAAAGTTCAGAAATGGAGGTGGGTACAATGTAAATAACACTGGAGGTGTAGAAGGGAGCAGTGTTGGTATTCAAGCACCTTTTGTACATGTGCATTAATTATGTTTTGATATACATGAATTTACCTGGCTTACTGGCATGAGGGGGCCCTTACGTATTCCTTTCTTGCTTTCCTCCATGATAGGGTCGGGGGCACTTTTCTGATTGGTAAATGGTTCAACATATAAGTGAATCAATTCTCATTTTTTGATAATACAGAAAGTATTGTTGATATTGTATTGATATTATTCTTTTGTTGTAAATACAACATGAGGAGGCAGATTACACAGTCTGCAAAACATGTAGCGTACCACCCCTACCCCATCAGAAAGATCAACATAATTTAATATGAGGCCATTACATGGTATACAATGATTTTTTTAGGGGGCTGACTGGAGGGTAAGTCAGGGTGAGAAATGTGGATATAACTTTTGTTGCATCAGATTTGTTACCTAAATGGATTATAGCCAATTCTGTTTTAATAATTTGAGATGTTATGATATTGTAATGATAAAAGAAGTCTGTCTATAAATTCAATGTATATGTCTACTTTAACAAAGTACCACCTTAAGTCTGGGTTCACACATATGCAGTGCGGCATATCGCATGTGATTCACACAGGAACCGCAGCGCATTGCTGTGAAAATCACATGCAAATAGTGTGCGGTGTGATTGGAGCCATGCATTTTATATGGCTCAAATCGCACCGCATCCGCACCAAAAAGCTGCAGAACTCTTTTTGTGGTCTGCTCTAGAATCGGATTACATGGGTATTCACACCCATACGATACGATTCTGCACATCGCACCGCATTTTGCGAACCAATTTTGGGGTGTCGTTAACTTAACACACACACCTGCAGCGGTTCGCATGAATGAGGTGCGATTGTGATGCGGTGCGGAATTCGCACAGAAACCGCTGCGAATTCCGCACTGCATCAGTGTGAACCCAAGCTAAAAGTCTGAGAGTAAATTAGAAAGATAGCCAGCATCTTCAAGCATTGGCAGAAGCTGTCTGCTTAACAAAATAATATCAGTTCGAAATATGGGTGGGTAAAAATCATGAGAATACATACAGAAATAGTAAATTGTGGTGGCATATAAAAAGCCCTTATTAAAATTGGTTAATGGAATATAGACACATGCATACATTTTTTTATGTCCTGTGGCCTGGTAGAAAATAAAGCACTACAAATTGTACCTTCAGGATTGAGACTGAGATTCCTTTGGAGAATCATTTTTGTTCTGTATTGTTTTTTTTGTAAAACTAGGACATCTCCTTTCTTTGAAATGTTGCAGATGAGCAGACTGCTTGACTTTAATTTGCAGGCCCTGAACAAACACAAAGTAGTAACTTTAGAGGAGCCATGGTGCCATCTTCATCCATAATACCGAACTGGTAGAGGAGCAGAGAAACTGAATATCATACACAGGTGCATAAGAACAAAATCCATGATGCAATGATATCAGGCATTGAATATAGAGGTAATTCAACCATACACATACACAAAATGTAAACAAATATTAACCTACCCAGCCTCAACCTACACCTCAACTTTTGTAAGCTTATGTACCCAAGGCAAACAAATGTGTTTAACCACTTGCCCTCTGGAATATTTACCCCCTGACCAGGCTGTTTTTTTGCTCTTTAGCACTGCTATAACTGGTAATTACACGGTCATGCATCGCTGTACCAAAACAACATTTGTGTCCATTTTTGACACAAATACAGCTTTCTTTTGGTGGTATTTGATCACCTCTGGTTTTTTTTATTTTTTGTGATATAAATGAAAAAAGGCAGAACATTTTTAAAAGAAAAGATATTTTCTACTTTCGGTTATGCAAAGAAAAAGAAAATCCCAGTACATGTACTGTATATTAACTGGTTTGCGTGAAAGTTATAGTGTTTACAAACTATGGTACTTCGTCGCTGCTCAAACTCTCTCCAACCCCCTTCACCCTCACTCAGCTACCCCCTCATCACCCCTCTCCCATGGCCCCACCACTGCTCTGACCTCCTCTTCCACCCCACCCTACATTCCTCATACTGAAGCTCCCCCCACACTCCACACCTTTGACCTTACTACCATCGAGGAAGTCTCCAAGATCCTCTCTGATGCCCGCCTCACCACCTGCCCCCTCGACCCTATCCCCTCACAACTCCTACAACCTTCCTCCTCCTCCATCCTACTGCTCCCTCACCCACATCTTCAATCTCTCCCTCTCCTCAGGCACTTTCCCCTCCCCTCTGAAACATGCACACATCACCCCCATACCTAAAAAGCCCTCCCTGGACCCCAATGACCCGAACAACCTCAGACCCATCTCCCTGCTCCCATTTACATCTAAACTCCTCGAGCGCCTAGTCTACACCCGCCTATGCTCTCACCTCAACGACAACAACCTCCTCGATCCCCTACAGTCCGGCTTCCGTCCCCTACACTCCGCCGAAACCGCCTTACTCAAACTCTCCAACGACCTGCTAACCACCAAAGCTAATGGCCACTATTCAGTGCTCCTACTCCTTGACCTCTCTGCGGCCTTCGACACAGTCGACCACCCCCTCCTCCTCAAAAAACTACACTCCCTCGGCCTCAGAGACTCTGCTCTCTCCTGGCTCTCATCCTACCTGTCACAACGCTCCTTCAGCGTTACCTATAATGCTACCACCTCCCCCTCACTCCCCCTCTCTGTTGGGGTCCCTCAAGGCTCTGTCCTTGGGCCCCTTCTCTTCTCCATCTATACCTCCTCCCTTGACCAACTCATACACTCTCACGGCTTCAACTACCACCTCTATGCCGACGACACACAAATCTATCTCTCAACCCCCCACCTCACCCCCTTGGTCTCAGCCCGAATCACACACCTACTGAGCGACATATCAGACTGGATGTCGCTCCACTTCCTTAAATTGAACCTCTCCAAAACCGAGTTTATTGTCTTCCCCCCAGCCCGGACACCACCCCCCATTGATTTCTCCGTCACATCCAACAACGCTACCATCAAACCCGCCCTGCAGGCCAGAGTACTGGGTGTCACTCTGGACTCCAACCTATCCTTCCAGCCCCAAGTCCAATCTTTAACAAACTCGTGCAGACTCCACCTCCGCAACATCGCCAAAATCCGCACGTTCCTAACCCCAGAAACCACTAAACAGCTCATCCACTCTCTCATCATATCACGACTCGACTACTGCAACTCCCTCCTCACTGGCCTGCCTCGCCGCTGGCTATCCCCGCTTCAGTCCATCCTGAATACGGCTGCCAGACTCATTCACCTTTCTAACCGCTCTGTCTCCGCCACCCCCCTCTGCCAATCCCTCCACTGGCTTCCGATTGCGCAACGGATCAAATTCAAAATCCTAACGCTGATGTACAAAGCTGTCCACCATACTGCCCCGAACTACATCACTGACCTAATATCCAAGTACCGCCCAGCACACACACTCCGCTCCTCACAAGACCTCCTTCTCTCTAGTTCCCTGGTCTCCTCTTCCCATGCCCGCCTCCAGGACTTCTCCAGGGTGTCACCCATCCTCTGGAACTCCCTGCCCCAACCCATCAGATTATCACCTACTCTTCTCTCCTTTAGGCGCACCCTGAAAACCCATCTCTTCAGGGAAGCCTACCCCACCCCCTGCTAACTTGCCGACCTCCTCCACTCTTCCTACCACCCCATCCCCCACAGCTATCTCCTCCTGTGCCACCACCCCCTCCCTCCTAGATTGTAAGCTCGAAAGAGCAGGGCCCTCGAACCCCTCGTGTATCACATTGTATTGGTATTGTTCTGTCACATGTTCTGTCCCCCTTTGTAATGTACAGCGCTGAGCGAACTATTGGCGCTTTATAAATACTGTATAATAATAATAATAATGGTATATACACTGGAATTTACACAGCTTCACACATCACATTTCTCGAGGTGCTAAAATGGTCGTGCATTTTACATGGTGATATCATAGCTGTGACCACCAGCCAAAGCCCTGAGAAAAGGTTTTCATGGGCACCTGTAGGAGCAATGGATAAGGTAAAGTGTTTTTTAACGTAGGCAAAAATGAGCATTTAACCCCTGTAGTGTGAGTAGGCCCCACTGCAGGAGTATTTTTACATTCCCCAGAGTTCAGCTTTAAATGTGTTGTGAAGTAGCACACAGCACATGTCACCCCAATTTGAACTATGCCCCACCTCTCTAACTTATCAGAGATGAAAATTATAAGATTCTTGATTACTCAGTTTTCCTGTAAGCAGCTGAGTAATTAAAATTCCATGCTGAAATCAGGACTACAATATGAACATGGTGCCAGAGAGGAAGGGACCTCTGATGAGGAAGGAGGGGGGAGACTTCCCTTCAAGTTCAAGAATAAATTGAACTGAGGACCATCGTTACCATGACAGGAACACAGCCAAGCAAATAAAAGATCCTGCAGGAAAGTACTGCTGTTGGAGTACACTGAGGAATGTGGATTGCATGCTTTGTAAGTCCCACACAGCCACTACAGGGAAAGCCTAAATTCAGTATCTCAGTGACTGTCTCCTGAATCCATATACAGCGGGTAAAATAAGTATAGGACATGTTACCATATTTCTAGGTAAATATATTTCTAAAGATACTGTTAACATGAAATTTTCACCACATGTCGGCAATAACCCAAGCAAGCCATACATACAGGGAAATGACACAGAGAAAAAGTATTGAACATGCTAATTGAAATTTATTTAATTCTTCGTCCAAAATCCTTTATTGGTAATGACAATTTCAAGATGCCTCCTGTATGGAGAAATTAGTCACATGCATTACTCAGGTGTGATTTTGGCCCATTCTTCCACACGAACAGTCTTCAAATCTTGAAGGTTCCGTGGGCCTCTTCTATGAACTCTGATCTTTAGTTCTTTCCATAGATTTTCTTTTGGATTCAAGTCAGGTGATTGGCTGGACCATTCTAGCAGCTTTATTTTCTTTCTTTGAAACCAGTTGAGAGATTCCTTGGCTTTGTGTTTGGGATCATTGTCTTGCTGAAATGTCCATCCTCGTTCTATCTTCATCATCCTGGCAGCAGATTTTTATCAAGAATATCTTTTTCCATTCATCCTTCCTTCAATCATATGAAGTTTGACAGCGCAGTATGCTGAAAAACAACCCCACACCATGATGTTCCCACCTCCAAACTTCACTGTTGGTCTGGTGTTTCTGTGGTGATGTGCAGTGCCATTTGACCTCCAAACATGGTGTGTATTATGACATCCAAAGAGTTCAGTTTTGCTCTCATCTGACCAGACTAGCCGCTGTAACTATATGCAGCAACTCAGATATCCCACCAAAGTCACATCTGAGTAGAAAAGGGTCAAAACCCCTGCTGGTTTAATCTTCTGATGGGCGTGTACCCAGTGGCGTCCCGAGGCAGGTGTGGGGGGGTGCGGTCCGCACCGGGTGACACCGACTGCACGGGGTGACCGGACCCGCTCCACAAAAAGGTAAGTTGTAAAGAAAGCCAACGATCCCTGCAGGATGGATCCGATCCATCCTGCGGGGATTGTCGGCTTTCTTTACAACTTACCTTTTCTTGGAGCGGGTCTGGTGTCACCCCATATAGGTTGCATGTGGACGACCCTGCGGATGACACCGGTGTATCGGCAAGATGTGTCTCCCATGTAGATATGTTCCTCTGAAGCAACTGCGCAGGTCCCGGTTTCAGGCACGATCAATCGATGATAGAACTACTACTATCATCGATTGATCGTGCCTGAAACTGGGACATGCGCAGTTGTCCCAGACCCGCTCCAAGAAAAGGTAAGTTGTAAAGAAAGCCGATGATCCCCGCAGGATGGATCGAATATGCAGATTGAGCATAATGGATCGGAGTCCGATCCATTATGCTCAATCCGCAGATCCGATCCATTCTGCGGGGATCGTCGGAGGTGGTGTCACCAAGTGTTACCACACCAGGTGACACCAACCCTAG